CACGAATGAACTTAAGAAGTTTAGGACGGGAATCCTGGAGAAACCAGCAGGAGACAGCCACCGCTTCATGGCTCCCTCCAAAACCACTCCCCCAAAGCACATGTTGATGCACACAGAGTGCAGGTAGACAGGCCAGCCAATCGAGCTTTAGATGTGCATTCAGACCAAACGCAAGGGGAGAGTTGGGCGCGCCAATTCCTGCTGGGCGCTGCGCAGGACACGAGGGATGCGGGACTGGTAGCCGGAGAGGTGCCAGTTCACCTGCTGGGCGCTGCTGAAGGAGGCCTTGAGCAACCCCCAAATCTGGGAGTTCAGGGGCTCTGACATCTCTCTGTGTGTTGCTATGGGTCCTGTTTCTGCGTGTCCTGTGTGGAAATACTAACATAATAATAACAGAGTGAAAACATTGAGTATATGTAAACTTGTGACACATCTGTGGCATTGTGCTGTGTGATGGAACTGCACATTTTGGAGTGCAATACTGCTGTCTGATCAGCGTCTTGATATGCCACACCTGTGAGGTGGATGGATTATCTCTGCAAATGAGAAGTGCTCACTAACACAGATTTTGACAGATTTATGAACAATATTTGAGAGAAACAGGCCTTTTGTGTACGTAGAGAAAATCTTAGATCTGTGAGTTCAGCTCATGATGAATTGGGGGCAAAAACAAAAGTGTCGCGTTTCTAATTTCGTTCAGTGTACCTCTTTGATGTACATTTGTTGGGATGGGAAACGTCACAGGACACTGCAGTCTAATTATGAGTCTGATTAAATACTGATATAATGAGAAAGACTCTGGCGTTAATGAAACACATTGTGTCGCTTTCAGGGAAAGTTCACAAACTCCTGATCAGTTAATCTTTAAATGAGTTTCTACAAGTTTCCAAACTACGTTAAGACCGATTGCTTTGTTGGATGTTATCAGCTTCGTCTCAGTGACAGATTCTACTGTATGAGACACTACAACGTCCCCGAGTCCCAGATCTGTCTCCGCTGACAACACAAAGAGAACGAAATTAGAAATCAATCTGTGGAGGAAAAAATAGAAATCTAAAAATGGAAGCTTCTCCTTCAGGAGCCGAAAGCAAAGCGGCTTCCATTTTTAGATTTCTACTGGAAGTGAATGAGGTCAGTCAAGGTTTTATTAAGGGACATTTGTCTTTCAGGTAAAAAACAAACAAATATGTTGTATTTCGAGCAGAAACTCACCAGGCTGACGGTGTGAACAGTCCTCCATCAGATGCCCAGTGGATCTTTGGGTCCACAGTCGACAGACTTCACCCCGTCTCCTGTGAGGAACAGGGAGGCTTTATTTCACCTTATCTCCTTTACAGCTGATGCTATCTGACCCACTATCAGCAGGTCTGCACCTTGATCACCCTGGGGCTTCACACTGACACAACATGTTGATGTCTTTTTAATGCTTATAATAATTATTAACTTTGCATGAGAACTTTGCCTGCGAAAATCAAAAATTTAATGACAGAATATCATTAACCAAATAAAAATAAAAGTGGAGAGAAACAGAAACGTCTTCATGCCGGACACACACTAGAGGACAACTGGGATGATTTGGGTCTGAGGATCGTGTGGGGTGTGCGTTCTTAAGATAGCAATATTAATTCTGCCTTTATGTCTGAGGTACCCCACGTTTTTTAAATCACCACAATGTAGTTCAAGCTCAGAAATAAAGCTGGTAAGTGGGCCTTGAGTTAATGTTTTCAAATTAAAATTAAGATTTTTGTACTTGTATCAGAGCAGGAACCGAGTCTGACTGAATATATGTTGAAATAAATGTTGGATATAAAAAAACCTCACAAAATATATAACATGTTTCATTTTGTAGTGTTTTGAGTTCATCTTGTGATGATAATGACGTTAAAGTGAAATCTAATTCTATGAATATTAAGGTCGGAGTGCTCTTTAGGAAAGTTATGACTAACCACCAAAACATTTTATTTTCTTGCCTCCTCCACAAACCGAGAAGAATAATTCTCAGGGAGATTTTGGTGTCAGAGAAATACAACAGTATAGAGTAATCTATGTGTGAATGAAGTATTAGTTAAGAGCATATTATACAGAAGTATAATAGAGAGGAAATCTCCTGTGTCCTCAGTTGCAGTTGTTATTTTCTGAAATAAGACTTTTTCTGTTTTTATTAAAATAAATTAAAAAAAGTACTTGCGTATTTCCAATACTATCTTTACGCCTCTCCTCCACCGCACTCAGAGGGACAACATTTTACTTTAAATATTAAGAATTTAATTACAAAACAAATAATCACTTTATAAAATATGGTGCATTATAAAAAAGTGTTTAATCTGCATAATAACTGACTTTACTTTGATTCTTTTGTACATTTTACGGATAATGCTCACATACTTTTACTTACGATGAACACTTCTGCCTCAGGTTATTTTAAATCACTGGAGTTCAAAACATCGATTAATTAACAACAATTAATAACAGGCGAACTGTAGCCATAGTTCGCCCCAAACCCGGAAAGATTCGACCTCTGCGGGCGAAAGAGTCGAGCGAAGAACACAAGGGACATGTCAGAGAAGACGTGGATTAAAATAGGTTTTTAAAACAGGTCTGAGTGATTAATGTAACAAGCAAGCACCAGCACTTTCACACAAATACACCTTTAGCTAACTAGCTGTTTGCAGCTAACAAGAACTTGGAGACACATACTTGAGCGAAAGCGAAGCTTCGCGTATCGTCAGAGCGAACAGGTCTGAAGATGCTAGCTTAAAGGCCATATAGCAAAGTAAATAAAGTGTTACACCTGTACGACATTAAACAGGTAAGAGCCTCCTCAGCAGCTCGTGTCTGGCTTTGTGTAGCTGCTAGCTTGTGGGATATTCCGTGTCCCACCTGCCTCCAACACGTCGCTGTGCTGGTTTTAATTAGAGAAAACGCAGCTCAAACTGGGACACAAGCGACGTAGTTCGCTGAGATTTGTTTTTTTTTGTACCTTTGTCTCCACCGACGACGCAGATTAACTCGGCGCCGCGTCCATCATCCGTCCGTGGGTCGGTCTACAGTCTGAGGAGTCGGTGTTGGACCGGGAGGGGAGGGGGGAGAACCAGCAGTCCCAATCAAACCAGTTCAGTCCCAGCAAGCGAACAAGATGCTTCTCTCATCCATCCCGAGAGGACGCTGATGGATAAAAAAAAAATATCCCGAATGAAATCGTGTTTTTCTGCGTTAAATGTTCGGTAATAACCGTGTGTCCTTCCGCAGCGTTAAATGCAGGGAATCAAACCGGCGACATGTTGACGTGACGGTAAAAGCAGCATGTTGGTGATGAAGACCTGCTTCTTCTTCATCGCTCCGGAGTCTGACCCAGTTCAGTCTTTGTCCTCTGGAAGGGGGAGGGATGGAGTCTGCATCCTGCCGACAACACCGCTACATTATTATTACAAGGTTATTAACTAAAATCATTACATTACTTAAATTACATTTACATGCATATAAAAAGCTTCTGTTTAAAAAAAAACAACTTTAAAAATAAAGAAAATCTCTGTTTATATAATCAATTTACATCAATAATTGAAGAGGCTCAACATGAACAATACATCAGCTCACAGAGATAAATAGTTTACTTTATTAATATCCCATCAATCCATTATGGAAGCTCAGTAACACCAAAAAAACCCAAAACATTTGTTCATGTTTAAATTGTATGGAAGCCCTTTTCTGACAGGAGCCACACACACAGTAAAAATTATGAGACACTAAGTGATGATGAGATTTACTAAACGATAATATTCTTTATTGTTATTATTTCGACTTATTGGATTAAAAATCCTTGTTTATATAAGAAATTACCAGTCAGGCAGAATAGTTAAAAATAGTATCCTTTATAAAAGCCACAATTATCATTAATGAATTTTTTTTAATATATATTATAACACATATTTTCACACACTGAGCCAAAATTATGCATTTTTACTTGTTTGAATTGTACGGAAGACCTTTTAGGACAGTTAGGAATGAACCCAAATAGTTGAAGATTTGATGCTTCGATGGGCGGAGACTGATTTAATCTCACCATTGAATCTTTGCAGCCTTATGAAACGAGGATCATACCATTTTGGCTAAATGGGGAGCTCAATGTCTCATTTTATATAGAACTACCGGTCGGTTTTCTCCCAATAAGTTAATATACAACCTATTATGATATAAATTTGAACTATAATGCTGTAAATAAAAGGTCAAACAGGGGCGATTCTAGGATCAGACCTACAGGGGTGCTCAGCCCCTAAGAGAGTGTAGCATCAATACAATGCATGCTCTGGGGGTCCTCCCCCAGAAGATTTTCAGCATTAAACTAGTAATTTCCTGCAATCTGGAGACATTTTCTGCTCCAATTTACGGTGGAAATGTATTTTTTTTATATGAGGGAAACCGTATTGTGTTGCATGTTTTCTTATCGTGCAAATAAACCTTTTCTCAAAGCATTTTCATTTTTTTTAGTTAGCATTTCTCGCAGAGAGAAAAGGGTCAAATGTGAGAGTCAGTTCAGCTGGAAAATCTACAGTGTAACACTGAGCAACGAACCGAGACTCTAGCTCTGCAACTTCTCAAGATTACAGCAGAGCTACTGTGTACACATACATTAGTACAGTAGTTTTACATAATGATATAAATAACACTGTACATTATGATCTAATGTGTATCATTTGTGTATATACACACACCACACACACACTGTATATATATATATATTTTTTTTGTACGTTATGAATTTTTGACTAAGTCTGAATTGTAACACACTGATAATTATTAATTAATTAAAATAAAAATTGACTTAATGCATTTCAAATAACCAAATACCATGTTTATATTTTGTAAGCCAACAATAAGATACGATTACAATAATACCAGACTACAGTAAAATTATGGATTCTTTAAGATGCTGTTGATGAATTTAAATAACTATACGTGTGCAAAGGTATATACGGTGAGAATGAACGAAAAAACAGCAGAAGTTAAATGTTACCAGCAATAAACTGTTTAATATTTTGATTAATGTGGTTCAAGAAACAAAGCCTCCGTAATCACAGCAGAGTGACGACGTGATGCTACGGAAGCACAATGACAACACTAAACCTTTGGTTAGTCCACATTAACAGATAAAAGGAAAACTAATCCAAATTATGAGATGGTTACAGAGCCAGCACTTTGATTTAATATGAGTATCTTTAATTTTCCTGGCGTTCGCGGCCTTCCATAGGTTCCTGTCACTCACAATCTTTGCATCCTTCCAGCATCTTTTCATAAAACACACCTTGTCTGACTCGAACAGGTGCAGACGAATTAACGTCCGTCTGGGTACGAACTCAGATTAAACACTCGGTCGTACTTCAGAGTTCAGTTCAAACACAAACTCGTCCGTTCAGCTGAAACGTGCGGCGCTGCACGACTCCTCTGAGAGACGGCGTCATCCCGTCGTCCCTTCATTCAATGTCCGCCATCTCGACGTCCCCCTGGGATCCGGCAGGAGTCTTTTTCTTCTTCTTGGTTGGAGCAGGTGTCGAGTCCTGTTTCTTCTTCGGTGGTGCCGCCGCCGCCGCCGCTTCGACTGAGGAACAAAACACAGAATTAATCACCACAAAAAGTGAAACGTCATCATGAAGCATCAAAGTGAATAACAAGGAACACAAATGTTTTTCCTCTGAGCTTTTTAAGCATCACTACAGTGTCTTTAAAGTCCCTTTTCCTCGTGGTACCGGCTCAAGTCGCCGCCACCGAGGTTCCAAGCGAGCTGAGGCGATCCCAAAGTACCGATAACTTCGCTGTTGACCGTTCAGAAGGTTTCTACCAAAGCCGATTTACCACTGAGGTCTTCTCTCCAAAAATAACAGACTCGGTCAAATAAACAGTGAATAAATCAGTTTCATCCCCAAAAAAATAAAAAATAAATAAAAAAAAATCAGCGATCCGTCCTCGACAGGGTAAAGTTGTGTTCACACTGAAAGCAGATCCAGCGTTTCGGTTGGCTTGATTACACAAAAAGTCAATGCAAATGCTAATTCCTGTGAATTCGCTCTGGGCGGTGCGGAAGATTTGTTTGTTGCGACATTCACTGGTTCGCTCGAGTTCAGATTTTTCAACTTGAGCGAGAAATTCGCTTGACGTCCAAACGTCAGCGAGGGCTTCAGAGCGTTGTTTGGAGAGGACCGGGCAGAGCGGGGGAGTGACGCCGCTCTGACAACAATTACCCTCAGCTCAGAGTCAACTGCTTTGGTTTTCACTTTAGTTTTTGGGATTATAACTAGATTTATCTTCACCGAGAGCTTCTCGAAACCTTCCGTGCACATCCGGTTCCACTGTTGTTGTTAGCGGCGGTTGGCACCCAGAGCTCTGCTGGACTACTACTTCATATTTTTATAAAAACTGGACAACCTGGACGTTACTTGGAGAAAAGAAAGCGAGGAGGTTGAACTACCTGATGAGTTAAGAAAATGTGTGTCTAACTTTATTCCAGCTGTTTCCCTGAGCGAGGAAAGCGATTAAATCTGCATTGTATGTGAACACATAAGAGCTATCGGCTGGAAATGTTTCACTGTCAGTCAGAGCTTATGTAAAACTGGTAGATCGCAACAGAACTTTTAATTTGTATTCATCAACAGGGCGTTGCTGTTGGACCAACAAAGACCTGCCAAACTGCTGCGTTTTTATGTTCGAGTTCCTTCTTTTTCTTTCCTTTCTCTGTGCTGGAGTTCTCTTATTAAGAACTTGACGGCGTTATCCTTTAAACAGTTTAGTGTCATCCTTTACCTTCCATACCGGCCTTCTCCTGCTGCATGTGCTGCAGCTGCTTGAGCAGCTTTCTTCTTCTTCCAGACAGAGTGATGTTCGCTCTCGCGCTCGACCTGAAATACGGACAGAAACACGACATGGCTGACTTTACTTCGTGCGCAAAACGCCAAACACGAGCATCAGGTCTAACATCTGTAAAGAGCTGACAGAATATTTCTTGACGACTGACTTTCTCTTCTTCAGGTGATGGATGGTGATGAGTCCCTGATCGACGACCGCTCCACTATCCGATGTTCTTCCTCTCTCTTTGCTCAGAACCCGCCGCCGCTTGAAAAGTTTCTTTCCCAGCTCCTGC